AATACATAAAATAACTATAAATGAAAAGAACCAATAGTCGGCGAGAATCAATGGTGAGGGAATTATAAGAATCAACCGAAAAACATTACTATCCCATCTTATATTTTATGATCTAATTAAAAGCGGGTGCTATGCGTTCGATCATGTTATGGTATCTTTAATAGTGTTTGTAAAAGATAAAATGCGATACTCTGATTGAGGGGTCGCGCGCTGGTCGGTCGTCGGGCGAGCTTGGCTCGTGATTCTTACTTTGCTGAGTGTAGCGACCTTGCCTAATCAAGAACTAACAAAACACATCCAATAAATACCCACACAAGGCCGCTGGCAAACAGCATATTTTTTGAGAAAAAGACTAATACGCACACCGAGTATTCCTTTATTCACCTACCAAATTCATTTTCAAGTACAAACCGCATACTATCATGATTCAAACAATTGAACGAGCCACATGGTAATCCCAATAAGCTTTATGATATATTATATGCTCTGCAAAGCCTAATAAGAAGAGGCAGCACGGTTCACCTCAACCAGCATAAAATCTGTGTTTCTCACGACATTTCAGATCAAGAACGTGACTGGGAACACTAAGATCCCCAGTTGCGATCGATAACACCACGCATTCCACCTTGCGCCCTGCGTGGTCCTGCCCGTTGCACCCTCCCGAAGGTCCCGAATCGAGTCGGTGAAGGCGGCGCAGCGTCCGACGAGGAAGCGTCCAAGTCGTCTTTTCCAACCAGCACCCCGAACAGATTCTCTGAACGGCGCCCCTCCCGAGCGACCCAACAGGAAAAGTCGGGTTGAGAATCATTTTTCGAGCTCTTTTTAATGTTTGTGTCATGCATAGGAATCTCACTGTTTTATATGTGTTTCAGTTCTTCCGCAGCACGCCCTCACGTTATGATTTCCTTGTGTAGCAGAATGTTAACAGCCTAAAGGCGACTGTTAGTGTAACACATGGGCCGGTCGGCCAGGTGTTTGGGTTGCCGAACAAAAGGGTAAATTTGGCACCAATGTGGCATAAGAATATTCTTCAACACGTCAACCCATTTTGACGTTAAACGTCTACGGAAGTTGGTTACTCACTTATATATAATAGTATAGTACTATGTAACAGTATATATATACTTAGTAATACTACTTACCTAAAGAGCTTTTTATAAATAGGGTTTATACCTTAAGGTTAATAGTATTTATTATATAATCGTCGATGGCTATGTATAATATATATACCCTAATACTATAACTGGTGTGCCTTGTAGCCACGCAATGTGGTGTCTGTGTATGCTGTGCTCGTGTATCCGTGTGGTGTGTGTGTGTGTGTGTGTGTGTGTGTGTTTGTTATGTATGTAACCTACTTAATGTTGATACTGATACGTGCATATGTATATATGTAACATACGGCTCGTACTTAAATAGTTGCTTACCAACACAATTACACCCAATATAAATATACTCGAACAAGCACCAACTAGTCAAGAAGTATACAGTGCATATGTGTGTATACACTCACGTATAACCCTGGTATACCCGTAGATCATAGATAACTATCACATTACAGATATATATTTATACGGTAACATATCTCATCCTCAACTACTACAAGGATATTATGCACGGTTATCGTTACGCCTATCCTTACCTACGTTACCGGCTACCTGAGCACTACGGCTTGTGTTCGTGTAGGTGTGTGTGGGAGTGTATAGTGTGTGTGTGGTGTGTGAGCATGGGGTCAGGGTCGTGTGCACAAAATTATAGGTAGTCATATATATTAATCGTGCATAGCACATTACAGTATAGTATCAACATCATGAGTGCGACTATACATACTATGACATACATATATAATATATTAGTAGTCCTCATATATCACATATATATATGTGCGATGGGAGTGTGTGTGGTGCTTGGTGAGTGGGTGTTTGGCTGCTGTGAGTGTGTTGGGGTATGTATGTATATGCCATATACTAAGCGCTTTGAGAGATGAGGATTGGTTTTCGAGGATCATCTCAACGTGCTACGTAGTTTTGGTGTAACAGTAACGTAGGTTTACGAGTATATACGACGGAGAAAAAAATGAACACAAAACTGTATGGGAATTGAATATCACTTACTCGCATATATATATCAACGATAGGTAAGCCTAGCTTGTTGGACAGACGTCTATCCTACGCAGCATTCTATGTGAAAGGATCATATATAGTCAAACTTTTGTAGTTATTACATTGCCTGGATAGGCCAGAGAGGTAAATACATACATTTGTGAGATGTAGTCTCAATTGTACGTAATCATCATCTTCACGAGATATTTATATTATATTTGTTGGAATGAGAAACAATATCATTTTTATCTCTACTCAAAAATCCAAGTTATTTTGGCACTATAGAGAGCTATAAATTTATGAAGGAATAATAATAAAATATACGAATAAAATACGATCTCTTACAAAAAATTACTTCGCATTTTAAATGGATTTCTCATCAAAGAAGCAAAGTTAAACTTCCATCTTGTGGCTTAAAACCAGGCCCACCCAAATCTGCCATGACATAGCCTGAATGCACTTGAAACGACGTGGAAGCGTAAAATAGGTACTCGTTCTAAAAATCATAGTTGTCTCTCTCTACCGTCACCTTCGCAGTAACTAGGCCCTCTCAGACTGAGGAAGGGTGTCTCTGAGAAAACTGCTTGTCAAGCGTCAAAATCAAATCAGTCTCAGCCTGCCTTCACTAATGTCATAGAATGAGCAGAATAAATCCAACCCCTAACAAATTCGACGAGTAGGCACGGCCTTTGGGCGCGCACTGCTCAATACTCTTGTCATATGAATCACAAGTCCTTGTCCGTAAACTTGATCAATCACGAGATCATGCAGGTAAGGAGCCGGAAGTTCTGGCTGTGGCGCTTACATCGATCAGCGGAGGGGGAGTTGGAGTTACATGCAGAGTAACCTCTTAGAAGGTGGACAAGCACGCCATATACGAAGCCTGCACCTCAACACATAGCAGGTCCGGTAAATTCACTCTGTGTTTGAAACTGTATCATTAGGATAGCGCACTCGAATTGGTTTCTGATCCTTAATTCTATTGAAATAAGAGATTAACGGTGAATGCAGTAATTGGGTGTCAGATTGTTAAGCGCACTTTAAATCATGTGTTAATTTCATTTGAGTAAATGTTTGCATAATATCTTTGGCGCAAGTCACGGGTATTTCGTGGAATTAGACCACCGAAGCATATGAGTCTACAATGCCAAAAATGATATGCTGAAGTAACAACATGATTCTAATACACATTTGCCTAGCAATCCATTATCAGTTCGCGAGCTTGCACCAACTACATGGAAGGAAAGAAAATATTGATTTGCCTTCAACCGTAATTGGCATATGCGGAGTGATCTCGCCAACTCTTAGTCCAATTTATCTTGCACTTTTTAAACCCCAAGAAAACGGATACGTGTCATACAGACAGCCATTTATAATTCTTATTATGCACTATCCCCTATATCATTACGTTACACTGAGAGAGAAGATGCACCTCAGATCACGAGCACCTACGGTTTAGTGCTAAATGGCCAACGTGTTGTGCTGAAACCGGAGAGTCCAACCTAGAGCCAGATGTACCTTACCATTTCAACTTCCTCCTTGGCCGATCCACACAATCTCGTACACTACCAGACTACATTCGCGCACGCAAAATCGATCATGGAAGAATTAGGGAAGAGAGCAGAAACACACCTAACGGTCTTACGATAAACGTGCAGCTGTATTACCCTCAGAGCGAGTAAATCGACTCCCGATATGTGTAACTTCTAATACACATCATTTTTTGAATTTTACGGTTCCCTGAAAGTTCTATCGCGACATTCATGTTTACATTTCGTCCTGTCGGTCAGTAAACCAATAATTTTATTCATGAATTAAAATATTATAAACACAACTCCCTTTCAGAACTGTGAACCAAATAGAAAAGGAGAGAATCTTGGAATAAGTTCGGCAAGATCTACGTTTGGCACAACATCGTGGGAGCTGGTTAATGCTCACACGTCGTTTAATCAGGAGCGGCCCTGATCGTAGTGAGCACTGTCACGTGTTTATGAGAATTCTTACATATACGAGTCTCCGATATATATAAAATATATGATATAGAATATTTATTTCGTTATGAGACTAGAGTATAAGATAGGCAACATGGTGTGAATCACCTAAAATCTGATAAAGAGTTAGAACAAAACATGGAATACCAAAGTAATATATTTATGTTATGTTACATGATCAGCTAGGTCAAAGTTCTGATTAATATAAGATAATTAATATATATAATATTCTTATAAATTGGTATGGTTTATATCACAAGTGTTGCAATGTGACGCTTATTTCCCCGCCCACAGATTCTGTTCCACCGAAGACTTGGGAGTAGTGAAATTGGTAAGTGGAATGCCCGTTTGGCATATGACTCACAGCAAACAAAAGGATACTGCTGCTGCACTCTCCCATGTGGTGTTGGCATTCTCAGTGATA